TAAGTGTTAAGTGTCTGAAGTTGGATTTGAACTCAGGTCCTCCTAACTCCAAGGGCAGAGCTCTATTCACTGCACCGCCTAGCTGCCCCCAGGTGATGAAAAGTTTTAAATGCTACAGAGATTCTAGACATAATAGGAAGCCTCTGGAGTTACATGGGCAGATCTATGCTGTAAGAAAGTCCGTGGCAGCTGTGTGGATGGTAAACTAGAAAGATAGGAGGTAGAGAGATCAGTTAGGAGGCTATTGCTGTAGCCAGGGCAAGAAGTGATGAGGACCTAAACTAGAGTGGTGGCCCTGTGAGAGAAGAGGAAGGGACAGACCATGACGAGATTTAGCAGTTGATTGTGTGGATGAGGAGTGGACATATCGAGGTGATAGGATCCTAGATGTAGAGATGAGAAAGGGCTCTGGAGTCCATGGATGCCAGCCCTCCATCTTACAGATGAGGAAATTGAAGCTGAGACGGGTTAAGTGACTAGCCAGTCAATAGCTATTCAGTATCTAACATGGGGCTTGAATCCAGGTCATCTGACTCCAAGTACAAGGCTTTGTCTACCGCACCACACTGAGAATAATCACTAAGCCTAGGTTTTAATTTTTGTTTGGGCCTGTTATGATGAGAGAAGGAAAGATGTTGCCTTAAAAACCAGAGGTTCTTAACTGTTTTTGTGTCATGGTGAGAAAATGAAGATTGATCCTGCATCATTTTCTTATTGATCCTATTTACAAGTAATTGATTTTGTCCTGTAATTGCTTTTGTCCTGTAACTGCTTAAGTCGTAGTTCTTTGAACTTGGTTCAGTGATTCTTCTGGCTTGTAATGGGTTACATTTAAAAATGCAATTCTTCTTGCCTTAAGAAGTTTAACTGACCTTGGGGAATGTGTGAGGGGATTGGGCCTCATATCTTTATTTCACCAAGCTATCCTTAAAGGATGTGTGGTTTGCTGTCCAAAAGTCTGGGATGTTATTTCTCACCTAGACTCAAACAATGAGCACTTCTTAGTCTGATGAGAGAAGGGTGGTGGTTGCTTGTCCTGATTACCAAACTTACAACCAATCATGTTGGTCCCTGCTCCTCAACTTTGTAACCAGTCATTTTGTGCTCAATCCCATGACATCATCTATCCTGTTTTGTTCTTTGTTCTGTACTCCCCAAAACCTATAAAAAGCGAGCTGTGTGTCTGCTTGGGGTCTTTGGCATTAATGGAGGCAATCCATTGATCCATTTTTTGGCAGGCAGCATGCCCCTGTTAATAAGTTACGCTGCTCAGAGATTTGCCTCAGTGGACTCCTTTAGTGGTCTTGTAAAACCTATGGACCCCTTCTTAAAATAATGTTTTCTTTTAACTGTATATAATAAAATAGGATTGCAAAGGAAACTAAAGGTTAATGAAAATAAAGATATAACTTTTTTCCTCATATAAGTTCATAGACCCCTTGAAAGTATATCATAGATCCCTTTGGAGCCTATGGACCCCTTGTTAAAAATTCTTGCTCTAAATTGATGATTGGAATCCTTGATGCAATAAATTACTGTGCTGCTTCTCTGAAAGACTTTGTCTTTTGAATGGGTTGTATCAGTAGTAATCAGTGTTTGGGGGAACTTATGTAATTGTTTACAGTAAAAATATTTGAGTTGATGAACTGGTGATTACATCATTACATGCATGAAGTATAAAAATGTTTGATATAAATACCATGGTGAGATTGTGCTTACTTTATATCTTTTCTGAAATATTTTATTTTTGAACTGTAACTTTCTCAAGAAAAAGTAATTAAAAAGTTAAGAACATATCAGTCCCCTACTTGATCTTAAGTATAATATGGATACTTTCTATTCAGTTTTAGCAGGATAGGAGCAAAGACAAAACTCACTTAAATCTGTACAGGAAATCTTCAAATGGAATGGGGAAGAATTTCAGCCCAACTTACCCTGCTTCCAATTATTAATGGTTAACAAATTCAGTTGAACAATTCATAATTTATTTTTAATTAAATTAAACAAAGATTCTCTTCTTCTTTACGTATAAGTAGCCATGCATGCTTCTGAGGATTCTGCAGGAAGCATGGTGTTATCATTTATGTGTCTTCGCTGAAAGTCTCTGTGTCTTAGAGCCAGTGGCCATCCACAGGTCACTGATTTTCATTACAAGCAGCAAACATTTACAGAGTACCTCCTGTGAGGAATCTTCAAAATCCTTTAGTAAGAATGAATCAACTACTGTTCTGTAAAAGAAAACAAAGTTCTTACTATTTTAAGGGTAAATATATGTTGTCATAAAGACCTGAAAAATATAGCTAATTTTGCCCACTTTGGGTCTGTTGCCTGCCTATACATTCGGATTGCACGATGTGATGTTTATTTTGACATTGGGCAAGAAATGCAGACTTTGATATATTACAACTGCAATCAGTGATTATTTAAATGCTTTAGGTATGATGCAGTCTCACTAATTTGGCCTGTGGCATTGTTACACTTTGGAAAAACTGACAACTTTTTACCATGTGTGTCTCCAACTGACATTTCACTTGCACTGATGGTGGGAGGTGGTAAGGAAAAGTTATATGGAGGATTTGGGTTTTGAACTGGGCGTTGAAAGGGTGGCAGGATTTGTATACATGAAAGAAAAAAAGGGGGATTTTGGGCAGGAGAAACAGTTTGGGCAATAGGAATGATGACTAGCAGCAGACAAAAATAACAAAGAAGGCAGCGAGTCGCGGAGGCATTAGCTAGAAGATTTCTGCGCCTGGACAAGTGATAAGCTGTAACTGGGAGGGATGTAGTAGAGCAGCAGTGTCAAACTTAAGTAGAAATGGGGTCTACTGAAATGTACATAAGGGTCTCAATAGGCCACATATTGATTTAGAAAACCATGTACTAGCATTATCTGTGTTTTATTGTATTCTTATTTATTTTGCCAAGTGTTTTCCAATTACATTTTAATTTGGTTCAAGCCACACTCAGGAGTGTGGCAGGGAATGTTCGACACCTTTGCTGTATACTATATACTATTCTGATCCATCTGCAGAGTGTATGAGATTGGAATACAATTTTGTATATAGTTCCTGAGGACCAGAGGCAAGAGACTTGTTTATATGGAACTAGAGGCCAGAAGCCTATCAGAGGTCAGCCAGTTCCTGGAGGAGAAAGGAATACTGATTAGACTAACAGACAGTCCATTCACAAAGCAGTCAACCTCCAGGAAAGATCTTGTACTAAATCCCTGTGCAAAATCTCAAGCCAGAAATGGGATACCTATAGTCAAAGACATTACTTAGCTCAAGTCTTTGATTGGCACCATGCTTTCTTTCATCAGCTTGTGGCTGCAGAAACAGCCTTCAGATTATTATATGAATTGTACCCTACTTTCCCCAGCTCCCTCCAGAGACTCACCTCCATAAAGTGGCAGCTGCTAATGGGACAAGGGGAGGTATAGACAAGGCAGGACAACTCATTGCAACAAATATTTAGAAAACATCTGCTGTGTACACTGACCATGAGAAGCACCATGGCGTAGTAGATGGAGAGTTGATCTCAAAGACAGGAAGGCCTTGTCCAAGGCCTGCCTCTGACACATACCAGCTAAGGGACTCTAGGCAGGTCAGTTCGCTTCTCAGTGACCTTGACAACTCTCTAAGGCACAAATTTGCAGAGAAGGTGCGGACCTGACTTGGTAGAGGGAGTGCTCTCCTGAGGGAGTTCTCTGAACTAGTGGCGTTATAGACCCAGTCTCTCACCTCTAGTTGTGTAGAGGAAGGTAGGCTTATCCTAACCAAGGTCTTCTTCCAGTAAAAGGCAACAGATAGAGGGACAGAGTTAAAAAAAAAACTATACTAGAAGATAAAGGATAAAATGGATAAAAACTGACATCTTTACATCACTTGAAGAGGACAACCACAGGAAAATGCTGATGGCTCAGTAAGAGACAGATCAATTCACCCCTTGGAATTTTAGACCATGTTTTGTATGAGTAGGAATCAGTAAAATACTCAAAGGATCTTTTGGGCCCACTGCTAATTGAAAGCACAAAATGGGAAATGTCTATTTGACATAGTAGAATATAAAATACATAAAAAGTTAAAGTCCCAGCACTTAAAGGGTTAACCCTGAGGTACCCAGAAGACCTAGTTATCCAGAGTGACTCACTCCTCTAATGTCCTAGAGTCTGCATAGCCTTATTTTTACTATTTCTTCTGATAGAAGCCACTACTACCATTTTACTCTCATATGTGCTTTTTAAAAAATTCTATTAATAATAATAATAGCTAGCATTTATATAGTGCCTGCTGTGTGCCAGGCACAGTGCTTTACAAATATTGCTCATTACTCCACACAGTCTGAGGAAATTATTCTTTTTCAGTTTTCAAATACAATGTTTGGGGCTTTATGTTCACTGATTATGCCTTTCTGAGAATAAGAAACAAGTGAAAAGACTATCACTTTCTATCTCTTCAGTGCCTCAGTTTCCTCATCCATAAAATCAGAGTGTTGGACTCAGTGACCTCTGAGTAGCCCATCCTGAATTCTATGTTTATTACCATTTGAGCAGGAAATCACCATTGTAGTTGCTGGCCTTTGCAACCACTGATTTGACTTTTACAAAACTGGATTGACAACTAGATAATCTCATTCCACAAGAATGTCCATCTAGCGTTGTTCCACTTGTATATTCAACTTTGGGGTCACCTCCCAGAAGACATACGTACATCCTTCCAATGGTTTACAAGCAATTGGCTCATCAGACTGTACTTTGGAGAAATACATCATCTTGGCATCATTTCTGCATTTGCTTCATTTGGTTTGCTTTTATTCTGTTGAGTTTCTTAATTTCATTTTTTTCCTATGTCATTTTTACCTAAATAACAATTTTACTTTGTGGCACAACGTGAAACACATTGCAAAGATTACATGTGGGTAGATAGACAGATAGATAATAGTTGTATGTATCTCTCTCTTTCTGCTTGGATTTTCTCTGTCAACATTCTGTAACTTTTCAGAATTTGCACCATCCTGGGATCGTAAATCTGGAATGTATGTTTGAGACCCCAGAACGAGTCTTTGTAGTCATGGAAAAGCTACATGGAGATATGCTAGAAATGATTCTTTCTAGCGAAAAAAGCAGGCTTCCTGAGCGAATTACTAAATTCATGGTCACCCAGGTATTTCTTTTCTTTCTTGAGGTAGAGAATAACTTTAACTTAAAAGGAAAATTATACTTCTACGTAGGAGAGTGGGAATGGGAGAGATTTATAGACAGTGTGCCCTAGGGTGTTTGTTTGTTTTTTTAATTTAAAAGATGTTATAAAATTGAGAACAGTTAAAATATAATGGTGATCCTCAAAAAAACATCTTCAAGATGTCCTTATAACAACCCTGTGCATTCAGTAATGTGGGCATTGTTATCCCTGCTTATTTGTATCAAGGGATTGATCAGGAGAGTTTCCAATCAGTGAATCTCCTTCAGTCCACTTGATGAGATCATGGCATGGACTTTTGCTGGACTGGAGCATTTGTCATGGAGCTGGACATTCATTCACACTTGACCCTTTGCTGAGGGCACTTTTAGGAGGACTTTGATCATTTCCCACCATTGGCCTACCCTCCCATTACTTGTGTAAATGATCATAGAGACACACTGAGAAGTTAAGTGACTTTACCAGGCTCACATGAGAGCAGCTTCAAACCCAGGTTTCCTATCTAGTTTTGTTTGCATGATGACATACTACTTCTCAATAATAAATTTGGCAAGGAACAATATAGCTTTACTATTCCAATGAAATCTTAATAAATTTTAGTGGAAACTAATTGATGAGACTTCTAGGTCCATTTTTTCCATTGAGCTCCCAATTAAAACCCAATATTATACTGTCCCATTGACTGTTAGATTTTTCTCACTGCCTGGACAGATAAGTATCCTAACAATTAAAATATCACTTTATTTCATTCACAGATACTTGTTGCTTTGAGGAACTTACATTTTAAGAATATTGTGCACTGTGATTTAAAACCAGAGAACGTGCTGCTAGCCTCAGCAGAGCCATTCCCTCAGGTGAGTGATATGCTGCTACCTGACACGTGAAAAAAGAGAGTTGATCAGAAGTGGGGTGTCTTGGCATGCAGGGCACTGCATGAGGAGCTAGTGATTAAAAATAAATGCCATCTCATTAGACATCTTGCTTTTAAATGTGTTAGCCTTTCTTATCCTTTCCGCTGTCGTAGCACTAAGGTTTTTCCATTGTCATGTATATTTGCAGTTTTTACTAATATTCAATTCAATATTTATTAAGCAGCTATTACATGGGAGTCACTGTGTGGAGTTTCTGGGATACAAAGACAAAGTGGTCCAGTTATCTTACATTTTATCTTTTAGTGTACAGTCTTCTTACACTGAAAGAACTTAGCTTCTGCACTCTTTTCTTTTTTTAATTAGGCAATTTGGGTTAAGTGACTTACCCAGGGTCACACAGCTAGTAAGTGTCAAGTGTTTGGTCTGAGGCCGGATTTGAACTCGGGTCCTCCTCACTTCAGGGCTGGTGCTCTATCCACTGCATCACCTAGCTGTCCCAGAACTTAGCTTCTTAAGACTGAAACTTCCTGGTGGAGTTTCCCTCTTGGCCCAATAATTTGGCAAGGGAAAAGGTGTCAATTAAAAGACTGAAGCTTCCCATCAGAGGTGTTTTTTTTTATCTGTTCATTTATATATTTGTTGATTGATTGATATTTATTTAATGTCGTGGTTAACATGGTTAACCCAGAAATGTGGAACATATATGGTTTTGCATATTTTATTTAAATGATTTCAGATTTAAAGTTCTCATAGTTTATAAGTAATATTGAAATAGTTATAATGTTATGCTATTTGGGGTAAGTTTATATATGTACATGCATGCATATATATAACTGATATATATATGTATGTATGTATGTATGTATATTAAGTTACATCTATGTAACTTAGTGGTATTATTGATTTTCAGGTGAAGCTGTGTGACTTTGGCTTTGCACGCATCATAGGTGAAAAGTCCTTTAGGAGATCTGTGGTGGGAACCCCAGCATACTTAGCACCTGAAGTTCTCAGGAGCAAAGGTTATAATCGTTCTCTGGATATGTGGTCAGTGGGAGTTATTGTTTATGTGAGCCTTAGTGGCACATTTCCATTTAACGAAGATGAAGATATAAATGACCAAATTCAAAATGCTGCATTTATGTACCCACCAAATCCATGGAAAGAAATTTCTGGTGAAGGTAAGGAATTCAGTGAATTTGATTTTATAAGCTTGAGTCTAAACTTATCTCCTTTCCTCCAAAGCAAGTTTCTCCTTCTGACTCCCCAGTCCTGTCTGTATCCTGAGTCATCTCTGATTCTTTTTACTTGCCAGCCATATTCAGTCACTCACTAAGTCTTGTAGGTTCTTCTTTCATGTTATTATTTAAAACTCTCTCTTTCCTTTCCCATTTTATCAGCCTATCCCTCATCACCTTCTACCTGGATTACATCAGTGTCCTTCTGATGGACCCTCTGCCTTGCAGCTGAGCCCTGTTCTGCAGTACCGTCTCAGCTTTCATCTTTCTAAAACCTTGCTTGTGGACACTGCCCTGCTAACACCTTGTCGTGGGTTACAGGATAGCCTTACTTTCCCAGCATTAGCTTTCTTTGTAGCTGTATGCTTCCTACTTCTCCCCTAGATGAGCCTTAAAGTCAACAGATAGTCGTACTCACTGTCCTCAGTATAACATATGTTTCCCTTCTCTAAACGGTTCTTGCCTCCTGTTCGTCTCCTCCTTCCTGGGCTGGCCCACTTGGAAGTGTTCCCCTAGAATCCTAGATCACAGTGCTGGAAGGGACCTCAGAGGCCCTGTTCTGTTTCAGATACCTCAGTTTACAGACAAGAAAACCAGATATAGGAAATTAAGTGACTTGTCTACAGTCATCAAGCCTTCTTTCATCAGACAACTTACCAAGTGTCCGCATGGGTTCATTTCAATCCTTCCCCCCAGTTTTTCACTGAAATAATTTTCAGTTGTATTGTTCCTGTTTGACTTTGGAAGCTTCCCATCCTTTCTATCTCTTTAGAGGCTCTGCCCATGGGACCATATCTTTATTTTCGCAGAACTTATTAGATGTTTTTTTTTTCCTGAGATTGAAGGTGAATCATGTTAGTAAAAAGAAACTTTAGCTCAAGTCCCCTAGGACTACTACTGGATTTTACCTCTTAAAACTTATGGTTTTTATTAAGAAAGCATCATTCATATCTGTGACTAAACTATCTGAATTATGTTCCCACAATATCACTTCTGTTTTTCTCCATTTATTCTCATCACCACACTGTTTTTATGGATTTCCATATTTTTGTATGGTCCGCCTTCCTCTTTTATCACAGCTCTTTCTTTCAAGTAATTGGTAAATAAACCAACACATTATTAAACAACTGTGTGGTTAGCAAGGGAGATAGAGAGACAAAATAGAAGTCATTCCTCTCCTTACATAGTTTACATTCTGTTGGGGAAGACCGTGTGTATAAATATAAATATACATACAAGATGATTTGGATGGGGAAAGCACCAGCAGCAGGGGATCAGAAAAGGGCTTCTGTAGAAGGTGACAAGTGCATGGGAAGCGAAGCAAAGCCTTCTCAGAGACAAGAGTTGAGAAGTCTGCTAGGCCTGGGGGCCAAACCCTGCAAGAACAGAGGAGCCAGAGAGAGCAGCAAGGAGGCTGGCTTGGCTGGAGTGTAGTGTGTGAAAGGGTTGTGTGTAGTAAGGTTGTCGTATATTGGAGCCAGCTTATGAAGGGTCTTAAGTGACAGAGGGGGTTATATTTGACCCTAGAGATCGTAGTTTGCTGCTGTGGTTTATTGAGTAGGTCAGACTTTCACTTTAGGGAAGTCTGCAGCTCTGTGGAAAACTGAAGGCTATTGAAATTTCAATTCCCATATGAGGTGATGAGGGCAGTGAGCTAGGGATATGGCCATATGAGAGAGGGGGACAGATTTGAGATGCAGAAACGAAAAGACTTGGCAACTGACTGGATATGTATACGGAGAGTGAAGAGTCAAGAATGCACCTAGGTGTCAGGAAGCATGAGGGGTAAGTTTGATAGGAAAGGTGATTTTTATATATATATATATATATATATATATTAATATATAAATTTATTTATTTTTAGTTTTCAACATTTACTTCCACAAGATTTTGAATTCCATATTTTCACCCCATCTTGCCCCTCCCCCCACCCCAAGAGGGCATGCATTCTGAATACCCCTTACCCTAGTCTGCCCTCCCTTCTATCTCTCCCCCCTCCCCGCTTCTCTTATCCCCTTCCCATTCTATTTTCCTGTAGGGCAGGATAGATTTCTGTACCTCATTTCCTGTATGTCTTATTTCCCAGTTGCATATGGAAACATTTTTTTTTAAACATGTGTTTTTAAAACTTTGGGTTCCAAATTTTCTCCCTTCCTCCCACCCCACCCACTCACTGAAAAGGCAGGCAAGTCAATACAAGCCATACATGTGCAGTTATGCAAAACACTTCCATAGTAGACATGTTGTGAAAAACTAACTCTATTTCCCTTAATCCTATCCTGCCCCCCCATTTATTCTGTTCTTTCTTTTGACCCTGTCCCTCCTCAGAAGTGCTTCCTTCTGATTACCCCTTTCCCAGTCTGCCCTTCTCTCTATCATCACTCTGCTTTCTTGTCCCCTTCCTCCCCTATTTTCCTGTAGGGTAAGACAGATTTCCATATCCAATTGAGTGTGTATGTTATTCCCTCCTTAAGCCAAATCCTATGAGAATAAGATTCCCTCATTTCCTCTCACCTTCCCCTGTTTCCCCTCCACTGTAAGAACCTTTTCTTGTCTGTTTTGTGCAAGGTAATGTACCCTATTCTACCTCTCCCTTTCTCCTTCTCCTAGCGTAATCCTCTCTCACCCCTTAATTTTATTCTCCAGATATCACTCCTTCATCTTCAACTCACCTTGTGCCCTCTATTTATCTATCTATCTCTATCTATCTATCTATCTATCTATCTATCTATCTATCTATCTATCTATCTATCTGTCTGTCTGTCTGTCTGTCTGTCTGTCTGTCTGTCTATCTATATATCTATACATACATACTTACATACATACATACATACATACATATAATTTTTCCCCTCCCACTACCCTAATACTGACAAAGGTCTCATGAGTTATAAATATCATCTTTCCATGCAGGAATGTAAACAGTTCAGCCTTAATAAGTCTCTTATGATTTCTCTTTCCTGTTTACCTCTTCATGTTCCACTTGAGTCTTGTATTTGAAAGTCAAATTTTCTATTCAGCTCTGCTCTTTTCGTCAAGAATGCTTGAAAGTCCTGTATTTCACTGAATGACCATTTTTTCCCCTGAAGGATTATACTTAGTATTTCTGGGTAGGTGATTCTTGGTTGTATTCCTTTGCCCTCCAGAATATTATATTCCATGCCCTCCAGTCCCTTAATGTAGAAGCTGCTAAATCCTGTGTTTATCCTGATTGTGTTTCCACCATACTTGAATTGTTTCTTTCTGGCTGCTTGCGATATTTTCTCCTTGACCTGGGAACTCTGGAATTTGGCTGCAATATTCCTAGGAGTTTTCCTTTGGGGATCTCTTTCACGGGGATATCAGTGGATTCTTTCCATTTCTGTTTTGCCCTCTGGTTCTAAAATATCAGGGCAGTTTTCCTTGATAATTTCTTGAAAGATGATGTCTAGGCTCTTTTTTTGATCATGGCTTTCAGATAGTCCAATAATTTTTAAATTCTCTCTCCTGGATCTATTTTCCAGGTCAGCTGTTTTTCCAATGAGATATTTCACATTGTTTTCTAATTTTTCATTCTTTTGCATTTGTTCTACTCTGTTATGATTTCTCATAAAGTCACTATCTTCCAGTTGCTCTATTCTAATTTTTAAGGAAGTATTTTCTTCAGTAATCTTTTGGACTTCCTTTTCCATTTGTCCAGTTTTTCTTTTTAGGGCATTTTTTCTCCTCATTGGCTTTTTGGACCTCTTTTGCCATTTGGGTTAGGCTATTTTTTAAGGTGTTATTTTCTTCATTATTTTTTTGGGTCTCCTTTAGCAAGCTGTTGACTTGTTTTTCATGATTTTCTTGTATCACTTTGATTTCTCTTCCCAGTTTTTCCTCTACTTCTCTTACTTGCTTCTCAGAATCCCTTTTGAGCTCTTCCAAGGCCTGGGACGGATTCATATTTTTCTTGGAGGCTTTGGATGTGGGAGCTTTGACTTTGTTGTCTTCTTCTGGTTGTATGTTTTGATATTCTTTGTCACCAAAGTAAAATAATGTAGTCTGACTCTTTTTGAGAGGTTTGCTCATGATCCCAGCCAACGACTTGAGTTTTAAACCCTTTATTAAGGTAGAGGTATGCTTCCAATGTGGAGAATGCACTGTCCCAAGCTTCGGGGGTTTGTATAGCTGTTTTCAGAGATACTTCTAGGGACCTGTAAATTTTCAGTTCTTCCAAGGTGGTATGATAAAAGGGTCAAGGTATTTACTCTTTTCCTGGCCTGAGATCTGGTCTTTGAGTGACCAGCCACAAGCAGTGTTTTCTCTCTTGGAGGTGTGAGAGGAGGGTTTCCTCTCCACTGCCACTACAAGCTCCACCACGCCAGCGCTCCTCCTCACCCCAGGACCGCCACCCAGAACTGTGACCCAGATCCAAGCACAGGCAAAGCAAGAGATTCCTGCCACAGCACCAGTAAAGAGATCCCTGCAGTCCCCCTCTGATCAGCCACTTGATTCCCCCTCAGTCTGTGGGCTGGAAGCTCAGGACACAGCCAGCGCCCCTGCGCCCAAGCTCTGCACTCTGGAACTGGCTCTGACCTAGCTCTTCTCTCACGGAAAAAACAGACTTTTCCTGCTGACCTTCTAAGTTGTCTTTGGCATTCACGGATTGAGGAGTCTGGAAGCCACTATAGCTGCCCGTGATTCAGTCCTCTGAGGCCTGCTCCTGGTTCACTGTGGCCTGTGCGCCCACACCAAACTGCACTCCTCTTCCCGCCCAGCACAATATGCCTTTCCGATCAACCATCCAGGCTGTCTTGGGCTGGAAATTTGTTTTACTCTGTCTTTTTGTGGGTTCTGCTGCTTTAGAATTTGTTTAGAGCCATTTTTTTGTGGGTATTGTGGAGGGGTTTGGGGGAGAGCTCAAGCAAGTTACTGCTTTCATGCTGCTATCTTGGCTCCGCCCCAAAAGGTTGGACATGTTGAGTTTGAGACACAGTGTAGACAGCAGGAATAGACCACTTTTCCTAGAAGTTATGGAGAAGAGAGGAGAGATAGGATGATAATTTAAGGGAATGGAAGGATCAAATTAGGATTTCTTTTTCAAGGATGAAGGAGACCAGGGTATATAGAACTAGTGAATAGGAAGAGCTTGGGGGTTGGGGAGGCAATCTGCTAGAGATAGCAGCAAATAGATTAGAGAGTTTGGCCTTGTCAAGGAAAAAAAGCTCTATCTTCATCAGACTGGAGTAAAGGAAGAGAAAAGGAGAGCTGACATCAGGGGATTTGAGGGAGGTCAGATGGCTATAGACAAATAATATCCTTTCACTCCTAATCATGAGATACCGTCCTACTAAACCATTGTGAAATCTTATTTATCCCTCTTGGGTTAAAAATGGCAAGTTTTGTTTTTTAGTAACATTAACTTTTCTTTTTTCATTAGCAATTGATTTAATAAACAACTTACTTCAGGTGAAGATGAGGAAACGCTATAGTGTTGACAAATCTCTCAGTCACCCCTGGTTACAGGTAAAATTGTATTCACTTGCAGTACCTATGGTAGTCTCTCATTGGCTGATAATGAATTCTTCCATATTGGCAAACAAAATCGTTAGATTCTCCTGAAACTCCAGGACATATTTCTCAAACTGATTTACATGGTTAAACTGAATTGCAGGTCATTGTTTCTGCTGAGATTTCTAAGTCTTTTGTTAACCTTAAATTTTCTTCACTGCTGGGTTTTTTGTTTTCTTTTTTTTTTATAATACATTCTTTAAAACAAGTTTTTGGAGGTTTTGGGTTCCCTCTAAGTTTTTCATATTGGCCTTAAGTATTGTTTACTTTGCCTTCCTCTTGGGTGTACACCATGCCCGAGCTAGAATACTGGTGATAGCTTTTGATAGCTAGTAAAAAGTTCATATTTGTAATTGAATAGAAATCCTACTTGAAATATATATGTTTTGGACTAATAATAAATTTGTTCTTATATCAAGATTTCTTATATTATAAATAGATTCTTATATAGAAAATTTCAAGAACCTAGAGCATAATATGAAGAGGTATAATGATTACAGAAAAATAAATTTCTGTAGTGATGCTCTCATTTTTAGAAGTCACCAAATATTGATTAATGAGAACACATATAGGTTCTAAGAGCTTTATTTCTCTTCACAAAAACTAGAGGGGAAAATTACAGGACTTAACTCTACCAGAAAGAAGTGTTTAATTACACTCAGGGACATGAGGCACATACCTTTCTGAGAGTCTCTGAAACGTGGTTACCTCATTCATGAGAAACACGTACTGAAAAACCAACTAGCAGTTATTTCGATGAAGTGACTGTTAACTGATTCTTTAACTCTGAAAATTTTTGCATAATTTGTGGGATTAGCAATAATTAATAATCCAAAGAAAAAAAAAGAACACGTCCTTGATATATTTAGAATTTATTTTATGGTTTTGGTTAAAGCATTGTATTTTTTTCTCAGGATTATCAAACTTGGCTTGACCTTAGAGAGTTTGAAACACGAATTGGAGAGCGTTACATCACCCATGAAAGCGATGATGCCCGCTGGGAAGTGCATGCAAACGAGCACAACCTTGTGTACCCAAAGCACTTCATTATGGCTCCCAATCCTGATGACATGGAAGAAGATCCTTAAGTCACCAACACGCTCATTTAAGTATGGAAGATTTCCACTTGTGAGCTGATCTGCATAAATGCCACTCTTGATTAGCCTGTTATCTGTAAGGGAGCGAGGAAACATGATGTGATATATGATGCCAGTGCCATAGTGTGTGAGATGTAGGTACAGGAGAGGAGAAATGAAAGCAGAATGAAGAATTCCTGTAAGCTTTCAAAAGTGTGTTATCACATGCAGTCATAATTAGCTTTTGTATTTTTCTATAACTTCAGTTACTGTTGTTTTCTGGCATTTAAATACACTCTCCCTTTTTAACTTTGTACATTATGGAAAACCAAGCTAGTAACAGATTGTTTGCCTGATCAAGTTAGCCCAAGTTGCAAAATTTGGATGTAGTTTAAAAGGCTGGTTATTGGACAGGCTTGCATTTAAGAGATCATTGGGAAACAATGACCATATGATTTGCTGTTGACTCTAAACATTTATTTGACTGATCCTTGTAGGAGTTGAAGATTTTCCCCTGTATGTGTAAAAAAGGGGGTTAGTTGATTCACTTTTCTTTAGAAAGTGAATCAAACTTTTAAATCAGTGATTCCCAACCTTTCTGGAGTTGTGACACTGTATATACTACATGGCAAATAATTTTTAAATTAGTGGATTAATTTTGCTTTGAATATTTTGTAACACATTTTGAGATAATGGAGTCTACATGGTTGTTTCAAAACCAAGATTACAAAGCATTGATCTGAATGCCAGGGTGGCAGTAGACTCTTATAATAAAGCCTGGCTCTGGCTGCTAAATATTCCCATTCTCATTCACATTTTAGTCTCCTCCTTGGGAGTCTAACGTTCATTTAGCACAGGTCTATTTATCAGGTTACTATCACACAGGTTTGACTAAAGTAAGAGGAGGGATGAGTGTGTTAAATATTCACTAAGGTCATTGATAGGTGAAAGTTTTAAGTAGCAGTCTAGACTTTACCAGGTATAGACAACCAAACCAATCTTCTCCTTTGCGTTTCCTGTAATATGGAGGGTCTTACAGGTCTTTAGACTTTTTAACTGAAGCACATCTCTAAGTGATTGAAACAGCAAACCCCTTCTGTTAATTGTAAAGTCACCTTTTTTGTCTCGTTAACACTAAATTATCCCAGGTAGCTCACCTGATCTGGGGTGTAGCCAGGGCTGTGCTAGAGCCTGCTCTGACCCAATTGTTTTATTTTCAGTGTGAGCATTTACACCTTGGAAATTGGCAAATGCTACAAATTAGGGCTTGGGCTTATTGTTTTGTTGATTATGACTTACTTAAGAAAGTGATAGAGAAAATGTTAATAATGCAATTAAATTTTAAAATGTGCCATGGACATAGTCTCCCCCCCCAAGAAGCAGTTGTTAAACATTTACCAGCACACCCTAGGGTATAGCCCACTTGGGGTGTTTTTTTGCCAAATTTTTTAATGTAATTAACCAGTACATATAAAATAGCATCTTAGGATGTCCTCAACACACCTGTCAGCAGCTACCATTGTACAGCTGTCACCAGATGTCCTAGCAGTCTTGGACCAGTTAATTGTTATTGCAGCTAATTAGTAAATTCATACAGTTTATACTTGTGAATTTCTGATCACAGTTTAATAGATTTAGAGCTTGAAAACATCTCAGAGGGAGTCTGGTACCACCCCCTCATTGCACAAATGGGGAAGCTGGAGTCAGAGAGGTAAGTGATCTGCCTCCACTCACACAGGGAGGATGGTAAGTGGTGAACTAGAGCTTGCCCCGTCCTCTGACTCCAAACCCCGCACGTGATTCCTCTGTTCCACCTTGCCTCTTTGTGGTCTCCACTGATAGCTGTTAATAGCGCTAACTTAAATGGCAAGACTGTCGGCTGCATAGGCAAAAGAAGGCCCTCCTCACTTTTCACTTCGTGTGCAGCCCTCCCCTCCAGCAGGCTGATGAGAGCAAGAACAGCTTTTTTACTGCCCAAAGGTGCACTTGCTCTCTACTCGTGTGGCTTTAGGCCTTTTGAAAGAGTTGTTATCTGTAGCATGCTCAAGTAATTAAGAAAAAAACCAACACACCAATCTACAAGAAATCTAGTCACTCTGCTTTATGACATCTAATGTTCCATAGTGGCTACAGTGAAGATTTCTTTTGAATTCTGAAGTACAAACTCTTGTGACAAATCCAGCTGCATTTAAGGGGACAGAGGAATTTTCTGTTACATTCACAGAATCATGAAACTGGAAGGAAGCCTCAAAATCCACTGCTGTACCATCCCCTCACTTCAGGCGGGACTGCCCTGAACACGGTCTTTAAAGATTTCTGACCCATTCTGAAACATCTCTGGGTGACTTCCCTCAGTGATTCTTACAAACTATCCACATTAATGTAGAGACAAAAAAAAAAGGTGTTAAAAAAAACCCAGACTTTTGCACCAGCTAAATATATAATGTTATAGTTCCTCAAATTCCTCCAAAGTTAGCCTCTTTGTTAAAATAAAAACTAAGGATAAATGAGCCAGATTATGATAGCAGACTTGTGGAATGAAGCTGTTCTGGGCTGCCACACAAATGCAGTGGTAACGAACCACATAATAATGTAAAAAATAACTGGAATGTTATTAGTTTGCTAAAATTCCGTACTCAAACATTGTAAGCCATGAAATTAATTGCACTCTTTTTTTTGTATGTTTTAAGAAATAAGTCACTATCAGATAATGTGGAGTTGGCTAAATTGCTCCAAAGCTGTATAACCCACATAAATAACCTTTTTATCTTGAATTCAAGTTGTATTTGTATGAGAAGTATTACAATGTTTGCTAGAAATATTTGCTCTTGTAAAATATCAAGCCTATGACACTGTCCAGTCCTTTTTTTTTTATATTTTTGTTACACCCTGTTGTTTGTAAATATCTTCTTAATACCTTGGAAATAAAGTGTATTTCCCTATTGAATTGATCATTTCTAGTGAGAAAACTTGGAAGAACTATCCTGTCTCTTTAAGACCTTTGTAAATGCAAATTTTTCTTTCTTGTTTTGTTGTATTTCATTTTCCTGGATCTCAGTATTGATGGTGCTGTTCTGAGGGGAAATTATCTACAGGTGGAACTCCTGCTTCAGAATTAGGGGGCACTTACTAGAGAAACTGATTTTAAAATCATGCTGAAAGTAATTCCTTCTATAACAAATACTGGGTAAGAATATGAAGGCTTAACTCTCTAATACAGTGCAACAGCAGGCTTGAGGACAGCATTCTGCATCATTTCATGAAATACAACTTAGGGATCATTTTTGCTTCCCACAGTTCCCAAACTAAAACTCTCCCTCAGCTGCTGCAGTTACTAGAGAACTTAACACAGTTGTCTGAAGACTTTAATAAGGAAATGAACTTTTTATATTAAAGGGCAGAGGTATCATTTGATTACCCTAATCACGTAAATATTATAAAGGGACAAAGGATATAGACTAGACTGAATTCATTGGAACAGGAACTCTTGGATGAGGAAGCTCTGTAATCAACGTAGTTGAACACTTTTCATCAACAGAGTCTTGGTGAGTTGTCTGCAATGTGGTGTCAAACTCAAATACCAAACATTAGGATCCCTGCAGACCACATCCTGACAGTTTTGAAATGTCAATATGTTTTATATTATTTGTTAAGTTTTTCCCTATTTCCTTCCCTTCCCCTCCTCTCCCCTAGCTAGGCAATGGGGTTAAGTGACTTGCCCAGGGTCACACAGCTAGTAAGCCCAGTTTCCTTTTAATCTGGCTCAGGAGGCACTCAGGAGTGTTGTGGGCTGTGTTTTGATATCTCTGGCCTAGATCACTGAGGTTAGTTACGTGACTTATTAAGGGGTCACACAGCCAGCATCATTCAGAAGGAAGATTTGAATGGAGGTTTTGAGGGCAACTCACTATCCTGACTTCCAAGTAATTATAAAAAAATTACAGAATTGAACAATACTCAGATTTCCTTTCCCCATTATGTTTGGGGTTTTTTTTGGCTATGCCATGGGGTTAAGTGACTTGCCCAGGGTCACACAGCTAGTAAGTGTTATATGTCTGAGGCTGAATTTGAACTCAGGTCCTCCTGAATCCAAGGGGGGGAGCTCTATCCACTGTGCCACCTAGCTGCCCCACCCCACTGTGTTCTGAGGGGCTGACTTCACAAAATTCTCTCTCTGACCAAGTCTGTTTTTTCTTTAAATAGTATGGAATACACATAGATGCTCCGTCCCACTTCTAAGGTAGAATTGTCCTTACTCAAGTAGGTATGATACAAAGATGGGCTTTCAGTCTTTCTTTAGAACAAGATATGTGTTATTTGCTCCTACTTTCAACTTATAAAACAGGTTTTTTCCTACTGAGCTAAGTGCTAACATGATATGACTTATTCATAGCAGTCTTGGGGTTTGTTTTATTTGCTGCATCATATTTGAACATTTTTTTTGTGCTCACTTGTCCTGTAAGCTGAAGTTCATGTACAATGTTAAACATAAAACTTGGATGCTAGAAAGGGGAGTGTGATTCAACTTGGAAAATTATTTCTACTAAGTAGTAGTATTTATCTTATTTGCTACTTAGAAGCCTTACATTTTAAGAATAATAACTGAAGAAAAAAAGGTCATCAACTAATTTTATTAATGAAAGGAAATTCCTATTCTCATAGTAAATTCACTGTTATATCTAAAACAACAGATATGAGTACAAACACATTCATATCCAAAATCCACACAAAATTTCAATATTTCATAATGACCATTTCAGAACAAACCCATCATAAGTTAATAATTTTTATTAACAGATAGTAAGTTAGTGCATTTTGAGATAATTTACCTGTAGTACAAAGCTGAAAACTAAATTTCTTTAGTTTTCCTTTTCTTGTGTGAGGAACTCAAAATGGGAAAGGAGATATTTGGTAGGTGGGGGGTGGGGAGCAGGTGAGCACACAGAAGAGTCCAGGCTGAAGTTTCACTTCCAAACAAGTTCTCCAAAGCCAGCTACAAGCGAAGGTAATGACTTTGACTGACATGTGCTTCCACCTGAAAGTCTGTGATGAGGTAGTAAGGCAAAAAAATTAAACCGTTCTCCCATGTTCTTGGGATTCATTAGCATATCATAACCACGAATTAGCTGTTGCCGTGTAGCAGTGTCACTTGAATTGTCCAAAAGAACCTGAAAACAAGAGGTTTTACTTAGCAATAAATACTGACATTTCTCAAAAATTGGTTTACCAATTGTTTGGTGCTAACTGTGTTATTTTCAAGTCAAAGAGAGGAAGGCATGCATCTATGTGCCATGTTTTAGCACTGACAATTCATTCAAGTCTTAAAAATGTAATAGTCCAGAATTCTGTTTTTTGTCTCTTCTCTAGAAACACAAAATAAGGACCTGAGGAAAGATTCAGGAGTAATGTAATAGTTCCTGTATTTCAGGTATTCTCTAAATGTTAAATGTTTTCATTTGGAATAACATTTTAAATAGTATGCTACTGACAAAATGCTTGTGCCGAGTTTCGTACAATATTATGAATTCCATTAAATTTAACGTGTTAAGATAAACATACACATGTGCATAATTGTACTCCAGATTCACCAGCCTAGCTTATCTCTAAGATAAGGAATTTTTAAAAATACTATATTCACATGCAATTACTGTTACATACTTTCAACTACAACATTAAGACATCTTCAAAACAATGCTACAAACTACTTAGATAATTGACTGTTAAGAGCAAATGCCCTTGTTGATCATCTACTTTAGTCCCTCATTTTACAGATGAGAAAACTGAGGAAAAGAAAAATGAAGTGACTGGCCCAAGGTCAGACAACTGGTTTACAGCAGAATTGGAGCTGGAAGCCAAGTCTTTACATTTAAGAGGTTTCTTTAAAGTAATATTAAAGTAAGAAGATTTACAAAACATGCAATGGTAACAAAAGAGACAATCAACTATTACCTTCAATCGAACATCAATGCCCATATTTTTTAAAAAATTATATTGTTGTATGGGTCCCAAGGAAGCCACTTTCCCTTGAGTCATTCTACGCAAATAGCTGAAGTCCACGTCAGCAGTCAGGTCTGCTGTTCCTGGGGCAGTTAAGACATCATGAAGCTTGTGACCATAAAAGCCCTTAAATATAATTAAGAAAATTATTAGTTTTACTCTGACTACCAAACTGTAAGAACAAAAATGCTATAATTTTTAAGTATATAGTTGACTATCCAGGGGTGGGGAACCTGTGGCCTTCTAAGTCCTTGGATATGGCCTTTTGACTGAATCCAAGTTT